TTGCATGGGTCTTGTGCATGCTGTCCCCATTGCTTTAAGTTCATATGAGCAACTTCCCAGCTACCTGGAAAACTCTGAGCCTCTTTTATATATAGAATATTCTTCAACAAACTATGAGATAGTAAGGAGGTTTAACTTTTGTTGTTTTTGTTTCATGTTAGCCAGGAAGTTACTGTAATTTAAACAATTATGTTATTATTTTACATGATGCCCTCAAGAAGAAGTCATTTAAGAAATATGTTGGTGTAAAGAAAACTGTGGCAAATTATAATAGAATGTCATCGTTCAAACTCACTCTCTCTTACCAGTGCTGTTTCGCCTTGCTATATTTAGAAGCTTTCATTTGGAAAGGATGGCTCTGTGACAAACGTGTTGCATGAGTAGATACTTCAATTTTAAAATCTCACCGAATCTTGACAACACACATGGGCTTCCTATAGGAGTTTTGACATGCTAATTCTGAAAAAGTTAAAGTAACTTTCAGTGTATTGTTGGAAGTATATAATCCTAGATACACGGTTCTGTTTGAGTATAGGGTTATTGCTTTCAAACTGTAGACTTTTGGAATATCTTATTATAAATGTTTTTATGGTATAGTTATGCAGTTTCATGGGATCATTTTCAGCTCTGCTATCAGCTGCTGCCTTCTTCCTTCTTGCCTACCCCGTCTCTGCAGCCATGTTATCTCCACATCTCTCCAGGAATCATGCACAGAAGAGATATGGGAGACTAGTGGAAACTAGCCCACTGATGAAGCTAGACTCCACCCAGGATCAGGCCTTTGCAGATGTTCTGATAGAGAACATCACTTAACTTTCTGTGTTGCACTATCTTTCAGACTTATCTTCTTCCTGGTTCAGAGCTTATATTCTGGTAGTAATGGCACCCAAACAAGCAAATATGGGGCTGTGGCCTCTCAGCAAGTTCTGTTAACCACTGACCTGGACAACATTCAGCTCCACTAACTGTTGCACTAACCTGCAAAGAGCTCTCCGATAGAGCATCTGAGAGTCACTGGTGAGAACTGCTGCATCTCCGAACCCTGTCCTGCTCTCTGGCCATGATGCTTCTATGACTGTTTTTCCTTAGGTGGGCAGGAATGAACATGGAGAAGGGAATTGCTTTTGCACCCTCGTTTGATTTTTCACAGTCTTCCTCTAAGGACATGGCTCACCACAAAGCAACAATTAACCAAAATTATTTTTAATTAAAACAAATTCATATCTATTTTAAAATGTCTGCAGATTGCCATCTGATGAGGCCAAATGTTTTGCTTTTGTTTCTTCCTCTCTCCGAAAATGCATACACCCAACAAGCTGTTGCCAGCAAAGTTTAGTAACTCACTTTACATTTTCACATCACAAGCTTAAGACCTGGGGTCCTTTTATGGATTACAGATTCAGTGCAGTCACTGAATGGCAGTACAGAACAGTAAACACTGCTGATCTCTGGTGGGTAATGGTTAGAGATTTCACAGAAGGATTTGCTTACAGCACATCCTCCAGCTTTGTAAAGATGATATAGGAAGTGGCCTCAGAACCACTCCCCCACAAAGAAATCCCCTAAATATCAAGATAATTTGTAGAAGGGCTATATTGCTACAAACACATTTTGGTAGGGCTTAAGAAAACGCAGTAAGAGTGAAAGCAAGCACAAAGGACACCACATTTCAAGTCAGAATGAGCTCCAACACTTCATAACCAAAACTAATCTGTGTATCCTAGAGCTTGGAGAGACGGGCAGATCACAATTCTGAAGACACGTGTCCCTGAACGACTAAAGACAGTGACTCAAGAGGATTACAGGATTTTAATACTGACAAATGCGGTTACTTTGGAAGGCAGGTGCCTTCCACAGCTTTTATTTGCCATGGAGTTTTCAATGTACCTAATGCTATTTTAATTCTGTTTTTACTAAGATAGAATTTTCCCTGAAACTTGGTCTTGTAACTGAGGTTTTGCCAGCTATGGTACGTGCTGGGATCATCATCTTGAGGCACTTTTGTTTAAAACTGTCTATGCCATCTTCGTCATTTTCTTCCTCTTTGACCTTCCACAATCTTGCCTGCACTTTGGCCTCTTAGTTGTGTTAATGTCATCTCTGACAAAGGAAGTGGCTCTTCATGATCAAGAGAATCATTCCTCTGTGCCTGAATCATCAGGCTTTCTTGGCATGCCCCAAAAGGAGGGTATGAATTGGTTATGAATCTCAAGCTAATTAACGAGCAGAATTTCCTTATAAAAGCACCATAATTCTTGGTTTGGCTGTATCTTTGTTCTTTCCTTTGGTTTTATTCAATGTTTGCCAGTCAACCAATTCAGTTCCAATGATGTTCCATGTGAAACAATGTACATAACCCTTCATCTATCACATACCTGGGGAGATACATTTTGAAAGTTTCTCTAGCAGTTTGCTAACAATTATTGACACATTAATTATCAAATGGGGTGAGATTAAAGAGTAATTATTAATAATTCTCAAATCACCCAGATTATAACTGCTTCAGAAAGTTGACAAACTTTGAGAAAGCCAAGAAAGAAGAAATGCTCCCTGGGTTTAATAGTACAGTCTCAAGGCTGATTGCTAAGATATGTGGACCATAAAAATGTTCTTTACTAGGACCAAAGAGCCACATTTCCTAACAGGCAAACTGTGAAACTGTGAAACTAAGGCCAGCCTGGTCTACATAGCAAGTGCCAGGTCAGCTGGAGCTACAGGGGGATTCTGTCTCAAACAGATTTTTTTTAAAATGAATGTTGGTTTTAGACCTTTAATAAGTATACATAATGTCCATCTTTTCACTTTGAGGTGCAGCCTCTGTGTATCTTTGTATATGTTATGAAATTCTTCGACCAGATATTTTTGCATCCCCAATTCGTATATGGCATTAAATTTTCTTTTCTCCATAGAAGGGTTTAACTAAGTTTGCAGTTAAAAAAAAAAATAAGGCCATAATGAATATTGATTGACCTTGGGAACCAAAATGTAAACATAAAAACAATTTCTTACTCTACAATCCAGTTTAACAATGTGCTAATAGCCCATGATGAAGATAGCAGCCCTAAGTTAATCAACCCATTAAGTTGGGATCAGAAGTGTCAGCTTAAGCAGTCTACTAATTTTCTGACCCTTAATGGGTCAGCAAGATCTATAACCCAAAGGCTGATCTTGCTGCTTCTACTAAAGTCACTTTAGAAACCAATTCACTTCCTCCCAGGATGGTGATCTCTGACCTGGCATGGGCAGGGAGTCAACATAAAATCCATTTATGAGAATGAGTTCAGGGTTACTGAGTAATGGAATCTCAAGCTAACTAGTGAGTCAAGGGTCTGGTAGAAGGCCCTTATGGAGCCCTAGTTTTGTTCCCCTATGTTCACACAACTGTGAAAATAAACGTGCACAATCTTAAGGGGGAGCTTCGGCCTCCAGCAAGCCCTAGACTGGGTTAGCTAAGACTTGCTAGCCACTCCCATTCTGAGACCATTCTGTGAAGGGAAATCTTAGTTTTGGAAATGTCAATAGGCCAAAAAGAACAATGAAACAGCATGCTGAGGTGAAAGGCCACACCTGCCAATGAATAATTGTGAAATGTCTTACTTCATTAAAGAGGTAGTGAATTGGACAAAAGGTGTGTGATGTGTTACTTTGGTTAAAGTTTATCTGGTTTTTACCTCAGTCTATTAAATGAGTATCAGTTACTGGTGTTTGATATTTTCAAGAGGAAGGAGAGAAAAAATTGGAATATGACTGTCAAGAGGTATAATGAAAATTATGAATAAAGAATTTAGGCCTGGGAGTGTAACGCAGAAGTACAGTGCTTGCCTGGTATGTACAAGACTCTGGGTTCAAAGCCCAGCACAAAGAAAAAAAAATGGATTGATTCCACTGAATCATATTTGTATTAAAATGTATGACAGCTATGATAATATGAGTATTTTAATGTCACAAAATTTTCTCTTTCAAAATTCTCTGTACCAAGCAATTCTTGGTAAGATTTGTAGGTCTGTTTGTTAGTGACCTGCGGGCGGTGTGATACCAGAAGCCCGAAAGCACATACGCAAGAGAAGCAGCTGGGCTGCCCCACAGGCCTCCAACTCCGGCCCTGCTCTACCCAGCAGACAATTCTCGGCTTTGCCCAAATAGGACAGACAGGTAAGATAAGAGAGTGACTAAGGACTAAGGTCCTAGAAAGGCCAAACAAGGAAAAGAGAAAAAGCCTAAGAATTCAAATGAGTCGGGGGGGAAAAAAGTTCAATTGGAAGGAAAATTGTCCACTTAAAGGACCCAAGGCTTGATTTTTCTCTCTACAAAGGACACGTATCAGGTATCAGTTACATGGGGATGATGCTTGAGGGAGTCCTTAAAGAAAACCAGCCTTTATGGGAACACAGAAGCCCCTCTGTTGTTGGTGACATTGCCCATGTTTCTCCCTACATGACGCCTTTGTTTTCCTGTGCCGTCATAACTCTGTCTCCAACTCTGTCTGCGGTACCAACCTCAGCACAAAGGCACTAGTCTAAGAGCCTGCGTAGGAGCAGTAGAGCCATCCTATGGGGGCTGGGGAGTGAACCCTGGGGCCCCAAGGTGGAAGACTCCGATTCTCTTTGCCAAGATCAGCCTTCAGGAGGTGATTTCTGGCATAAATTCTCGCCCTAGAGGCCGTCTGAGGGCGCGATGATGGAGGAGAAAGAGAGAGGAGACGGGGATGCGGGGGATGCGGGGATGCGGGGATGCCAGGATGCAGGATGCAGGATGCAGGATGCAGGGAGGAAAGAGGTCGGGGTCACCGCAAGGCCGCCAGGGCCCGAGGCCGGCGCGACGATGCCACCCCGTCCGCACGGCGGCGCTCGGGCCCAC